TCAAGTCATCCTTCTCTTTTAATTTTATTGAGTAGGATACCTCTAGAGTCTGGTACTTATTCTTCCATGCTTCCTTCTCTTGCTACATTCTAACTAAGGCAAGCTAAAGTTCTTCCACATCATCTAAGAGAGGAGTAGTCCTCATAAACATATCAGGTATAGGCTCTTCACAAGAATAAGTTATCTTCAAGAATTTCCCTAGTTTGTACCTAACGAAGATGAGGCTCTAAGGAAACAGCTCCTCTTGGTCCCAAATATTTTCTTCCCTTTCTATGAATATGGATCCAAGCCTTCTCAATATCTTTCTTATCTTCCTTGTGATCTTCTCCTTCTTTGAGAAAGAAACCACTCAGATGAATGTTGTTTGACTTCTCTCTCATCGGATATCCAAGCTGACGACGCGTAAGAACGGGATTGTAATCAATTCCTCCCTTTGTACCAATAAGAGGCACATTGAGGAAACTACCACATATTTCAATAATATCCACACCATAATAAGTCTGATGATACCAAACAATGTCAGAATGAGTGAGAGCCATAATCTTCGGGGTCCAACGAGGTTCCTTCTTTATATCCCAAAAAGCAACAATTCAAGGTGAGTGGGAAATAAACTTCTGATATAACAATGATGTGCAACAAATGACCATCCCTCCATGATAAAAATTCAGAACATGAATGGAATAATAAGTATCTCCTAGAAATATAAGGGCTGGATTCCCAATCAAAAAGATCCTAATGGAATTAACATCCACAAATTTGTTGATGTTAGGAAACAAGAACAACTCATAAGCAAGCAAAGCAAAGATGGCCTCAAAAGAAAGTGTACTCTTTATCTTGGCAAAGTAGCGAGCTTTCTCCAATAGAAACTGAGCAGGTAAACCCCTGATTCCTCCTTTGATAGTCATAGTAGCCTCAATCTCAGACTTCTTCAAATAAGTCATGGCAGCAATCTCATGAGACTTAGGCTCTCCTTCTAAGTTGGTGAAAGGAACACGGCCAGTAATAGGTAAATCAAGTAAGCAAGAATACTCCTCCAATATGGGCATCAGTTGATAATCATGGAAAGTAAAACACTGGCACAACGGATCATAGAACTAGACCAATGTAGAAAGAATTACCATCATTTATCTTGAGCTTAATAAGAGGCATGATAGCTCCATACTTCTTCCGGAAATCCGTAAATCTCTCAATCTCAGGAATCAAACTCATCAGTTCCTCTATCTTAGGATCCTTGAAACTGTACTTCAGAGTATTTCTTCTTCCAAAATACATGGTAAAAAAAGTACTTGAGATATTTGCAAAAGTCAACTTTAAGTTTCTTAAGTCAACTGTTTTAAGGAATGCTCATGGGTGCGTGAATGTATGATGCAACAATCACACACAAGATCACAAACATGAGGGGGAGCGTTCATAGATTCGACGTCATGAGCATGAAGTCAAAGATACTACCCACAAGATACAGACTAATAGTTTATCATCTGCTGAGCAAGGTTCTAGAACATTCCCACAGTCTACATCCTTCCTTCAGATATTGCCAAAGTCCCGATTAACCCAGTAATCAACAATATTCTCAGGAAAAACTTTTCTAAGTGTATCATCACGTGACAACGACTTCTGGATTGCTCCATCATAGTCTCTACACTACACCTAAAAGTCCAAGATGGGTTAAGGATTTTACAGTCCTCAACTTCAGCAGGCTCCCAGGTCAAAAACAACACGTCTTCCCGATTGCTTGGTAACGAATAATACAGTCAAAGGGGCCTCCACTGATTGTGGGGTCTCATGTCTCCTTTTTGGAATTCCTCCCTCAAAGTAAACATGATTATACCCCGCTTCCTATCTTAAGTTTTCCTGAGTCCGGGTAGAGGACTTATGAGAAATAACCAAGCACCTTGAAAACTAGGAAAATCCAGACAAACATATTTACAACATATAATATACAACAAATAATAGCATATACACATATAAATAAAGATAGGCTCAACCCCCTTAGAGATGGACCAGCATTTGGTCAATTTGTCCCCAGTGAAGTCGCTATTTTTTCTGTAGTAGTAGACATGTTGAGACTGAGCCATTGGATTGACTTAACTCACACAGATCAAATAAAAATCGTCAACGCGCTTTATTGTTTCCAGAGGAAATGGAAAAATAGTGAATAAACCCCAAAAAAAGGGGGAGAGAATCTAAGTACAGGGGTTGGTTATGCAAATGGAAGGTATTAGTACCCTAAAAAACTATAGTACTCTGCAAGAACCTCTTTCAAAATCTGTGTATTTTGGCTATAATATGTGTATACAAAATAAGATGGTGGAGATGGGAAAAGAAGTATTTTTTACAATTTTTGCACCCGCCGCAGTTGGGAACCTTTAGTGCCTAAGTACCACCTTTCGTGCAATAGGGGATCATGGTACTCGTAGTTCACCTTAAATATTTTAAAACACAAGTGTGTTGGTTAATTTTAACAGAAGAGACATCATCGTCATATCCGAGTGGAAAACATACTTACTACCCACGATTATGAGAAAGGAGAATTTGCATCATCTCAAAGTGGAGGATATGATTAAGTTGGTTAAAGTTTGATTAAGAAAAGATTATTTTTTAAATGCATGGACCTAACTTCAAGTTTATTATGAAAGTGGTTCAGGTTAGGAAACAAGGAGAGTTTTGAAAAGGAGGAAGAAGATTTTTGAAGTTAAAGAAGATATGAGGAGATGAAGGGACTATCCTAGAACATAAAGCAAAATCTAAGGAAAAGAACGATCTAACCAACAAGAAGTCAACATTTGACATATGAAATCAATGTAGAATTTCCATCCTTTGGATTGAAAATCAAGCAAGCAAAAATACTAAACCTCTAAAGAATATCAAGCTTCAGATGCATTAAGTCTTCACAAAAATTAGACAGAGTAACAACTGTATACAGAGGAATTCTAAATCACAGATAAAGGATATAATTAGGATAACCTGCACACAAAGAAAATCAATCCAATGTCTTAGAGTAAACTCCAAGAACTTCAGACAAAATAACAACAGAGTCATAAGATTCCAAGAGTATCAAGGCTTCTAATCCTAAGTCCGAGAGGTCCACAACTCCATAATGCCAAGGATAGTAACCAAATAGTCTAAGTAATCTTAAAGTTTTTAAATGTTCACGTTGGTTATTAAGTGTCTTCAAAAAGAAAATAATGCTTAAGTGAGTAAAAAAAAGACATAAAGATAAATGCTCAAGTGAGCAAAGATAAAATGACATAAAGATAAATTCTCAAGTGAGCAAAGATGAAAAATAGCATGAAATGTAAATGCTAAAGTAAATGGTGCATAAAAGTAAAGGCATAAAATAAAGGGCATAAAGTAAAAGCACAAAATAAATTCAATTGTTAGTGAATTAGAAGTTAGAGGTTAGTTGAATGACCATCTTGAAACTTGTATTTGAAAACTCATTAGAAGATTGATAAAATTAAAGCTTCTCAATAACATATTTCATTTTCTTTTTGTCAAGTATATCATTCATTTCAAGTACTCAAGACAAGTATATATGATCAGCGATGTTTAAATGATTTACTTAAACCAAAATTCATGAATGTTCATTAGAGGATTGATAAGATCAAAGTCTCCTAACAATGAACTTTAGGGGAAGTCAGGAGAAACGTCATTTTGTCTTGTCAACGGGTATAGTTTATTCCATCGAGACGATCCAACTTGACAAGGTCCTGGTTCATCACCTTGATGCTTGAAACTGTAGTGTCGACGGCTACTATTTGAGATACTATAAGACTGTTATGTAATGCTTCAAAGTTGAATGGATCTAGGCTGGAATCGTGTACTGAACACTTTCTTTATAGTATTTCAAGCACTCTCGATTGTCTTAGAATTTCGATGCAGTAATACCCAAGATAATTCTGCCTTTTCGAATTTGCACAAGACGGATGAAAACTCAAATGCAAAATACAGTATTTATAGACTACATTATTAGTATTGTTTCACAAGGTGTCGAATTTACCAAAAGTTATAATATTTGACCTACTGCAACATATTCCAAAATTACTCAATGGCCGTTTAAAAACCACCACTAGCGCCTCTACACATAACACTTGGGACACCACACTGATCTATATGACATTTTATTTTCTTTTGTCCTTTTGTTGAGTTAATGTCCTTAACTCTTTATAAAGAATTTTAATGTGAATGAATCTTTCTATGTGAGACTATTTCTCATATATTCGTTAGCATTTACTCACTTCCACTTTTTTGTTTGTAATTAAATTATATGACTTTTATAGCCCTATAATTAATAGCACTCTCTTTGTACTTGTATGTAAATTATTCTAATAATATCTCTCTCAAAATTTCCTTTGATCTTCTGTGATAATTCTCAATTTGTAAATAACTTGGAATATAAGTTACCAACAAAAAAATCTATGCGTGTAGATAGATCAAGACGAAAATTTTACTATATTCTTTTTGTTGACGAGCATAGGCATCCATTGATCAGGCTCTCATTATGTCATGCATTATTCAGATGTTTTCTCTGAATTTCAAGGGGAAAGATTAATAGCCTAGATACTCCAATTTTATTTTCCAAGAACATCGATCAACAGCTCATAAGTGACATTGTTTAACATGCAAATTATATGCTATTTAGAAATTTTGGGAAGTATCTCGGAGCCAACATTGACCTAGCGAAGAAAACTAGAGAAAAATTCAGTACATACTTAATGGTTGGAAACATGTGTCTTAGCTTAGCCTGAAGAGTTGCACTCACTGTATCGGTTCTCAGCTCTACTTCTTACGGAATTAGAATTAGAAGTCGTCATCATCAAATTAATTATAAGCTTTTCTAATGAAAATATTATGGAACATGATCAACCATCGAGATGATCTTTAGCACACAGTTCTTTACAATAAGCATTTGTTATATAGTAGCATCAATAAATACAATTTTATTTCTTATGAAAAAGACATATGAGAATACTGTAAGTAATTTACACAGCTAAGCAATGTTAATGTTTCCGTCCAAAGAAATCGAAATCGAAATGCGTGTCACTTCTCCCATCTTGTTGTGAGGCATGGGAATCAAGCATAGCTGAAATTGAAATTGTATATATATATTTATATCATATCTACTATAATGATAAAATGTAACTAAAATTCATGTGTGAATATCTATTTGAAAAACAAAGTATAATGTGTGTGTATATATCAAATCAATTATATATGTACCTCCTGCTGCTAGAGGATAGTTATCCAGAATATTGCCAATTCCTTTTAAAAGTTTCTACACAGAATAGAATCGGAGACTAAAACTTTAATATAGCCAAAATAAAAGACTAAAAGTGTATTTAAATCTAAATGAAAAACAAATATTGAATTATTATGAAAATTATACCAGCACTAGTTCACCGGGTTTTAATGGAAATTCCTCCATGCCAGTTATCTTGCTACATACTCAACACAAATTTACCATAAAAGATTAACTTAACATGTTTGTAATTTCAGGATTTTACAAATAATTACTATCATAATTTATACCTGATTAACAATTTTCCTTCAACTTCTTCAAAAGTAAAGAATCTACATCCACTTGTGAAGGGTAACTTCTTATCTTTCCACACTGCAAATAATTATGTAAAAATATACATAAACATTCATATTAGAGTTATTTAATATTGTTATGTTAGTTAAGTTATCGACGCCGCAAGTTAGTTATAACTAACTTTCTATTATGTTATAATAGATAATTTAGAATTGGCCTACACTTTGTATTCAATATTATTTTCATTTACCATATTCACATTGTAATAATTCGTAAGAGGGGTGAAAGTTAGTCGCAAACCTAAGTGCATAAACACAGTGACCATAACATGGTTGGTCTCTTTGACATCTTCCACAAAAACATGAATGTTTGGACCCATTGCATCCATCACGCTTTGCCAAAAGTGTATGATGCTCTAAAAATGAAAGGAAAAAAAATATAGAAATTACGATGATAGTACCACCAATCATTCCATTGGTACCGTGTTGTTATCATGGAAAGAGGAGAAATAAATGGAAGAAAGAAACCTCTTGGCCTTCATAGGCAGAGTAGAAAAGTAGGTCCTGGTAGACACAAACAGGAGAAAGTAATTGCTTCAATGTTTCAGTGTCTTTTTTATTGAAAGCCTCATAGAATTCATGAACAATGTGCACTTGTGAAGGACTTGATGGGAGGAATTCAGGAGAAACTTCACTTGATTCGATATCGCTGTCACGCGCTTTCCATTTTTCAATTGGACAATTCTTCCTTAGGTTTGGTAGTAATGTATGTTTGGAAACAAGATTGATGAAATGTGTTTTTTTGTTGTATAATCGAGTAATGCATGGTCGTGTTTTGGTGGTGTTCTTGTTGGAACTGGTACGAGTTTCTAATGGAAAAGAGATTTGGGATTGAGACAGCGATGACATGGTTGCATTTGGAAATTGAAGGAAGCTAGAGGATTATCCTAGTTATTTTTTGGCTATAGTTGCTTGTTCAGTGGTTTTTGTATATTTACATTAAATTTTCCATTTCAAGTAAGGAATAAGAGATGCTCTTAAAGTTTAATAGTTTGCTTCATTTTTTAAACAAAATTGGGTTGTAATAGTATAGAGTGGGATGGTCTAGTTTTACTTTTAAAAATGAATGTTATCCTAATTCATTTCACTCCAATCCATTTTACTCTATACCAACAATCAAAATAGAGTTTGGTTTTTTACTGATCGATGGTACATTTCTACATGTAGTTTTTTATAGAGTCTAGCAGCAAAAATAATACTCAATAAAAAGATAAAAAATTGCATGTTTTAAATTTGCGTTTTGTTCTGGACCGGCCACAAGTTTAAAAGGGGAGGTTCAATCATCTAGTCACTTCGCCAGCCAAGGCATTGAATGTACAGTATTACCATGCTTTGAAGCTCCACACTGGATCTACACCATGGATTGTTGTCTATCATTAGAAGTCATAGAACACCCTCCCGCATTCCACGTTGAAATTGCAGGGGACGTCCATAATTGTCTCTCATATATAAGGTATCACAGGTGACACTGACTTACGTGTTGGAATGTTAATTTTGTAGATCTATTTTCGCGCCATCGCATTAGAGATTTGCTCCACCGCATCAAGATTCTACTCCATTATTTCCCCAAGCATTTTAGATCCCCTAGCAGAACAGTGACACCATTTATGGAAATCATATTGAAATTCCTGTGAATTTCCACAATCAAATTCCTGTTTATTCAAAGTTGTGAATCGCAACAACAATAACACTCGAACAAAGAAGATGGCTTCCAATCCATCCGCCAAAAAAAATTCAGCTTCTCTAGCATCCAGATCGTCTCCTACCTTCGTCGACTTAGTTGACATCATATCTTCTAGCAAGAAAGAAACTGCATCACGAAACTCAGTCAAATCTTCAACAACAATCGAAAGACAAGAAAAAAATAGACTTATTCTAGGATTTCAATACCAAAAGAAAGTGGATGAAACTCCTAATGCGAGCTTTTAATAGTCATAACAACTATCATAGCCAACCACTCATTATTGGGTGAAATTCTGGAATGTTCTTAAAATTTATACAGACATCCAGAAAAAGTAATGAGAACAGCAACTAAAAACTGAACACACTTCCAAACTCTACCAGGTACCAGCACCAACTCCACCAATCAGCAATTCCACCAACCTTTAAGCACTGTCATCAGACTCAGAGGAGCTAGTTTCTTCAGTATTGAGATGACCTTCAACTTCTACACCCTCTTCCCTTCTGTTTCCTTCAGCTTCCTCCTTTTCTAACCTGGCAATTAGGTTTTCTAGGGTCTTTTTCCTAGCTTCCAGTTCTTTGCAGGTCTCTTTTAATACAACTATGACATCAGATGTTTTGGACTGGGTCTTCACAGACGATGTCTCAGCTGATGTTATGACAATATCAGGAGCATGAGATCCCTGAAACAGTTTGTAGTGCAACCCAAGGGCAGGAGCTCTTTTGCAAGCAGTATCTCTTGCCACCAGGATATCAGGGTATTGTGCAAGGATAATTCCACAAAGGAGGGAGGGAAAAGCAATTGGGCCTTTGACAGCATAACTACCAGCATGTTTTAAAGTTTGTTCAAAAATATACCTGCCATAGTCAAAAGCAGTCTTGGTTCCCACAGCATAAATAAATCTCCCCAATCCTGTGGAGATAGTTGATTTATGATTTGTAGGGACCCAGTTGGCTGCACCAATCTTGTGCAGGATGGCAAATTTCATGCTAAGTTTGCTGGCATTCAGCTTGCCTTTCAAGGGCCAGCATTTCACTTGCCTTGTTGTGATGGTTTGACAAACTTCGAATTTTTTTATTAATAACCAAGTATTAAAAAAATATTTCGCAAATAACCGGGTTTCGGAAAAAATTACGCAAATAACCATGTTTGAGATGGCTCCATAAAGGAGGAGCCAGGTCATTTGGCGCATGCACCTAGGGTTTTGCCCTAGGCGCCATCTCACTTGGCGCCTCCATTGGCTTTTAGCCAAGTGAGATGGCGCATGCTCCTTAAAAAGGAGAGGAGGCGCCATCTCACTTGGCGCCTAGGGCAAAACTAGGGTTTTTTGCCGTTTTATAAATAATTCGTCCGTTTCTTTGAAATTTCTCACACTTTCTCGCACTGTATTTTTATTTTGTACTCCCTTATTTACGTAATGACGTCGCCTATGATTTTTAGCAGAGATGGTTACGTTATATTCTCCGCCACGAAACCCGCGATGAAAATGAAATTCTGGCACATTCACTCCATGGAGCGTCTGAAGCGGGAGTTGATGCGGTGGCTAGATGGAGACATCGCCGAGGGGGAAAAAATTCGAAGGATCCAGCGAAAACGAACAACAACCTCGCATGCGACAGGAAGACCTAATGTGTGGTTGGAGGAAGTCAAAACAGACAGTGATGTAATGCTGATGATGCATGGGTCAGATGAAATTGTGTTAACAGTTGTAATTTCCTAGATTGATTATCGTTAATCATTGTTGTACGCGAAAACCCTAATTTAATTTCCTAGATTGATTATCGTTAATCATTGTTGTACGCGAAAACCCTAATGTAATTTCCTATATTGAATTTCTTAAATTGTGTGAACAGTTTTATTAACGGAAAACCCATAATGTTTACAACACAAATATTGAAAAGATTTATTGTATTACAAAATTTATGTGGTCGAGCCAGACGCCCGATTCGGACAGTTTTTGCGATTGTGTCCGACCTGACGGCATAAACCACACTTTCTTTCCAACCTGTCAAGATCGTCCATTTCTGTTGTTATGCGCCTGCTTTTGGGACGACCCTTCTTGTTCCTTCGCATTTGGTCATTGTGCCAAACTATATCACCGCTGTATTCAGGCCAATAGTCCGGTTTTGCCACCAAAGGAAAGTTGTTGTTGTAAACAGTTAGCAACGTCTCAGATTTATAAACGTTTGATAGCAGTTGAAGCGCGTCTTGATGGGTATGCGCACAAGCGGCAATGACATGAGAGCAAGGCATACGAAAAGCTTGAAACCTGCCACAATCGCACCATTGAGAAGGTAAAATGACCCTGTATTCCTGTCTTGCCAGGCCTTCATTGTGGTCAATTGTCTCTTTCACAATGAAGTTGTGGCTATGGCGGTCAAACCGTGTAACCATGTGAGTGTTGGCTTTTGCACTTTCAGCCTTAATGTATTTCATACAGCTTTCACTCCACAGTTGTCCTGATTGCAAGACCGAATACCACATTTCACCTCTTTTGGCAAATAACGCAGCCATCCTAAAATACGTGGATTTCACCAAGGCAGTGATGGGGAGGTTTCGTATGCCCTTGAATACCCCATTCATTGATTCAATGAGATTTGTTGTCATATGCCCCCATCTTTGGCCATTGTCGTATGACCTAGTCCACTTTTCGACCGGTATGTTGTCGATCCACGTACCGGCTTCTGGGTTAGACAAACGGATCTCGTTGCGGTAATATTTGAATGTGGGCTGTGTCAGTGCGTATCCCGCATTCATCACCGCTTTCCGCAATGTTTTGTCCTTGACCTCCCTCGAGAAATTCTGGACGATATGCCTGATGCAATAGACATGCGTAGAAGGAGGGTCATGCCAACCATTTGCCGGATTATTATAGGCACTTTCAATAGAGGCATGTCTGTCCGAGATCAAACATAGATCCGGTTGAGGAGCCACGTGTGTACGAAGATTTTTCAGGAAAAAGCTCCAAGCACCACCGGTCTCCCCCTCGACAAGGGCAAACGCAACGGGGAAAATGTTATTGTTGCCATCTTGTGCAACTGCCATCAAAAGAGTGCCTTTGTACTTGCCATACAACCAAGTCCCGTCTATTTGTAGAATTGGTTTACATGATGCAAACCCTGCGATGCATGGTTGAAATGCCCAAAAGACGCGACTGAATATTCCGTTGCCATGTAGAACACTACCATCTTGGGCGTAAGCGGGCAATGTTTCCAGAACATAAACACTACCTGGAGAATATGTCTTTAGTGCATTGAGGTAGCGGGGAAGTTCTCGGTATGACTCCTCCCAGTTTCCATACACCCTTTCAATCGCCTTAGTCTTTGCTAACCACGCCTTACGGTAAGACGGAGTGTAGTTAAAAACTGTGGTGATGTGGGAGATGATTGTTTTCACCTTCAAAGAAGGGTCGTTGCTCACCAGGGGTAGGATTTCTTGACAGATTAGATCATGGTTGAGTTTTCGGTGGTCTTGTGATTGAGTGGAACTTACACAAGTATGGGTTGTCATGGAACCTATGACCCAGCAGTCACCCCTTAGTCTGTATGAAGCGGTCAGCTTGAACATGCAGTCAGGGTGGACACACTTGATCTTGTACCTTTCCGGGTTTACACGATCCACCTTATAATCAACCGAGTTGAGCATGTGAAATTTTTTGATGGCCCTTATGCATTCCTCTCTATTACGAAACTTGTCCTTCTCTTTTAAATTTTCATCTGATTGCATATACGGTTGGAAAAACAAGTCCGTAGAAGGTTCATCTCCGCCCATGTTGAAGTTTGTCATGTGCGTAGGTGGTGTGTAGATTTTGTCGGTAGGAATACTTGGGATGCCATCATCGTCAGAATCGTCGTTCACCATTTCATCGAACTCTAACTCGTTATCTTCTTCTTCATCATCAACTGCATCCACCTCGGCTTGCTCATTCTCCAAAGGATCAACCTCCTGTAACACCGGAGGCTCTACCTCCTGTGTCACCGGAGGCTCTTGAAACAGAACGTACAACTCAATAGAGTCGTTTCCAGAATAGACATGGCTGGAAATCATGTTCTGGAAATCCTCGTCATCTTGAATTGCAACCTTATAAAATATGACTTGGTTGTTTCCAAAATAGACTGGACTCTGATAAAATATCTGGGATATAGGGCCTCGTTCAAGTTTGGCCTCC